CACAGATCTCTAAAAAAGTTATCTATAATAAACCCATTCACCCAAGTCCCACACCCATGTGATAACTTTTCTAGAGATCTGTGTCAAAATTTAATGGTGATACTTTCTCACATGAGTGTGAGAGGGTCTCATAATGTCATTACACATATATATATATATGGAAAAGTTTATATAAGGGTGCAACCTTAAAATGTAGAATTAAAGATGCACCTCAAAAATCCATTAGAAAAGATTGTTTTAATGTTCAAAAACCCTCTAATTGATCATCTCGACATTGAGATGTACGAATATGAAGAAAAAAAAGATTTGAGTCCCAAAAATAGTGCATCTTGCAATACGTCATCTGGACCGTCCATTTTCAAGATTTTCATATGCTTATAGATCTACTTGATTTTAACCATTTTTAGAGTTTAAAATTTTATAATTAAATACGAAAATAGATTTTCAGATAATCCAAAGAATTGTTTACACCAAAATTACATGTTATGATAAAATTTGGAGGTGTGTCTTAATTGGATTGTTTAAGGTTGCAACCTTATGGAATTATATCACCAATTCCAACCAGGAATCGGCCTGGATATCAATGATCTTTTATCTAGATAGGTAATCTCCAATCCAGTCGATGATTTTTTAACATTGGATGGGACAGTGATAAACCACATGGTCATTGTTGTTTTTATGATGGTATGAATCACATTAAATTTTTACCATACAAGAATGAGAATATAAATAGATCCTAGAGAAGTCATTGATTAGACAGATTTGATTTATATGAACCTAATTGCAATTTGCCTACAAACACTGAAATCATCTTGACCTTATAAATGACATGTTGTGTGAGTGCACTTCTCAATGTAGGAAAAGTAAGACTTCAGGGGAGATAGAAGTTACATAAGCCCAAGGAATGTGGCTTCCCTCCAAACAAGGGCCCACTTCTATCTGTTAGATCCTACAGAAAATGTTCGGCCTAAAATGTGGCAAAATTGGTCCTCCAACCCCACCACATGAACCCCCAACACAATGCTGTATGGGAGATAACCCAGAGGTCAAATGAGTGAAGAGTTTAATGAATTTAAAAGAATATGCATAATATCAACTAAAGAAAGACTACCAATTATACCTAACAATAAGAATAGAAAGGAATGGTTCAACTGAGTGCTTCAAAGTTCAGAAAACTAACCTGTGTAACAAGTGCATAGAGCGGCAGAGCGATGTAACTGCATAGAAGTTGGACACCAACACTGCAAAACCAGTTAATGGAGAACAAATTAATTCATATAAGAAAATCCAAATCTAAATGTGATGAAGACAACTAGATCCAGAAAACTATATAGAGATCCCTATTGATGGGAAAAAGGACAAAGTCTAGAGAAGTGGACTTACCCAAGTATAACCCTTGCCACAATAATCCAAAACTTTTCAAGGAAGCACGAATCCAAGCCAAATTCATACTGCAATGGGAGGAGCAGGGGGAATGTTATACTCAGAGCATGAAAGAATACTAGCTTGGCAATATAAAGCAACCGCATAAAAAATTGCTTCCTTACCCATATCCAGAAGAAATACACAATCTGAAATGCATTCTGCATTGAAAGAAACCAGTTCCGTTAGGAATTTTGATTTGCAGGAAAAACCATGAGACCCGCTCCCAAATAGACCAAATGTCACAAAATGCGCCTAAAACTAAATAGCCATAACACTGCCTTTCTATTTCCACTTGGAAGTTTTTTTTTTTTTGGGGGTGAATGTTTCCACTTGGAAGTGTCTCCCCTGAATGTCAAACTCCAATGATTTAAGATATATCTCTACTTTCCATGTGTAACAGCAGTTTATTTTGAAGTACCTAAGAATCTCGTGTTCATATTTGGGTTTCCGTCCAAGTATTTGAAGATCTTTAAGTTTTGCAGTTCATGGAGTTTTCATATTAATGACTAATTGATGACAAATAGGACTATTTCCGCTGTAGGATCTTAAAGAACTTGACATGAAAACTTTTAAATTAGGGATTGATATGATGTTCACCTTTTACAACCCGAAGACAACAAGTAGCTTCCAGTATACATTAAGTTATTTTTGAACGATGTAAGAAGATGCTTTCACGAAGTTTGCTCTAAAATATGGGAGGGAAGTTGCCATTTTAAATTCACCACTTGTTTGGCTTGTCCTCTGTACTCAATCACTATCCATGCTTTGAACCTTCAGCAGCTATTTGAGGATTAAAACAAAGGGAAAACATACTATAATCCAAAAGTCCTATAACAAGGGTAAACCAAACTCATGGGGGTAATCACCTTCGAATGAAATGATGGGGTGATGGAGAGAATATGACCGTCCATTGGGACCATGTCCTGTTCTGTAGGGCTACCATTGCCTCTCTCCATCATGGTCCCTATTGGATGGTATTATGACCAAGGACAATGAGTAAGACAGTTCATTTGCATTTATAAACCATCCCTAACCTAAAAATAATGAAACAATACCGGTTAAGACTTTGGTCCTACTCAACTTTGGAGAAATGGATACAAAAATGAATTTAGGGATTGCAAGCTGCAAACACCATGGGTAGCAGTCACAATAGAACGGGGAAAAGGAAAGGCATATGAAACCAATTATTCTGAACAGTTTGTATTCTTTCTTTTTTTTTCTTTTTTTCTTTTTTTCTTTTTTTTTGTTCTTTCTTTCTTGATAGTCATTTTCAATAGTTTGTTTTTTTCTTTCTTGATAGTCATTTTCAATAGTTTTAGGGACATTCCAAGACTTACTATGAAAAGGGGAATAGTCTAATAAGGGTGACGAGCATAAACTTTCCCTTAACCCGTCCCAATCCCGGGTAAAGGAATTGGGTTGTGTTAGGTAGGCAGCCAGCGTAAAACTTTGTCACATCTTATCATAAATCCTGAACGTATGTTATATTACTGAAGGTATAGCCCTTAATAGAGAAAAATGGAGAAACATAGCCAAACCCAAATAATTGGGACAAGGCTTTGATGATTATGATGATGATGATAATGATAACAGTGAAAAGGGAAAATAAGTACATACCAAGCGTATGATTATAAGTATATATAATAGTCTTATGGTACATGGTACTCCAAGGCTACATCAACCATCCATTCCCACTTATGAAAAGAAAATATACACAGTGAAGCCTACAATGATATTCATCAGGATAATTCAATTTCTAACCATCAATAAGAGGGAACCGACAATGAATGTACACCCATGGCGCCATATACCATGCACTGATACAAATCAGCATATAACTAGAACAGAGGGGCTGTACCTGAAACACAGAGAAATGGATCAAAAAGAGAACTAAACGAGGGCGTCCAAACCAAAAGTGACTGTCATTGGGTTGCACTTGGGGCATTCCCCCTACAATTTCATTCTTTTCTTGGATTTCTAACGCCATCTTAGCCATAATAGCTTGCAGCTTCGTTCCAATGGCCAAGATTATCTACAGAAAACACAATAGAAATTGGAAAATTGCTTTGGACCTTCAATAGGAATTGGCAGCTTAATGTCAAGCATACTTACAACCACTGGAAGTAGGGAAACCCAAATCAATGTGTGCCAACCTTCAAAAAACAATAAGAATCAAGAGGCTATGAGATCAAATGGCCAAACAATATTTCATAAATAAAAGAAATTGGCTTGAGATAGAATGTACATTTTGAGTTTCCAAACTCACCATTTACATTAAGAAGCATAAATATTACAGCTGAAACCCATAAAGTGGAACTGCAGATTCAAGTATAAATAGAATCAAAAGATAATCCCAGAGCTATTAATAGAAACCCCTGAATCTCGAAATACAGCAATATTAGGAACTCAATAACATATAGAAAGGAAGAAGGGCTTAACTAGGGAAAGCATAGCATTGTACGACGGGCAATGGTACATGTTATCCAAGCTACATTCACCTTCATGTCTATTGATGGATGGTTGGATATCAACTATACCAAATGCCCTTGTAGGCCCCACTCCAAGTAAACTCGGAACATCCTTCAATGAGAAGGGATAGTGGAAGTAATGTAGCCATAGGGTACCATACATTGTAGAACATTAGACTACGGCAAACTTTCTGTACTTTTGGTTACTTATGGTGCATTTCCTGCGTGAAGGCAACATGATTTAGTGTTGTCTTCATTGATAATATTTTTTATTGATATGGTATGGTTTCACAAGAACAAATGCAAATATGATATGATTAAGTTACAGGATGCACCGATGAAAAGAATTCACCAGAGAAACTACATACAAGTGGACATTATAAAATAAAAGTTTCATTGCATATTGAGAAAGATAATATCTTATAGCTATACTTAAACGATGTTATTAATGAGAAACTTACAATAATTTTGATAAAAGTGCGTCTCATGAATGACAAACTTATCTCTTCGACGAGCTTCCGACTATACTATGGAGATCTTAGCTTGATCAAGAAATAAGTGCTGCACAATGAAACCACAAACATACGTTTGTGGACATGACCGGATATATAAATGATCGTGTACCACATTTATTTTGCATGCATGAACATAGTTATGTATTATTTATATTTGGAAAATGTTGAGATTAACCCACTAGCTCATATGAACATATGAGCCCAACAGCCCAGATTGAATCTGGACGGATCTGACAGTCACGACCTCATTTTGTGTTCGAATTTTAATTTTTTTCTACAAATCCAAATAACTTGAAATTTTAGGTGTTCATTCTTCTCATCAATGCGCATCTAATAAAAATATTTTAAAAATAGTTCGTAAGAAATAAATTGACCAAAAAACCCTTGAAAAGAATAAATCGACCAAAATATCCTCAAAACTTTTCAAGGGCATTTTGGTCAATTTATTTCTTGCAAATTATTTTTTGTTATATTTTTATTAGATTGTCCTATTTTTGAAGAACACAAGTCTAAAATTTCAAGTTATTTGGATTTGTAAAAAAAAAATTAAAATTCAAAAACGAAATGAAGTCATGATCGTCAGATCGGCCCAGATTCAATCTGAGCCGTTGGGCTCACATGTTCATATGAGGTAGTGGGCTTATCTCAGCACTTTCCTTTATGTTTTATGCCGCATTTGAGATATATGCATGCCAATGTGTTAGATCTTGACGTTCTAGTCAGAGGTTTTAATGTGAGTAAATATAAATAAACTAGTATAATAGAGAGTTCCAATAAGATATGCCACCCTAAAGAATTACAACCACTAGTCTCCAAGTATGCTTTCCATACTCATGCATGACTAAAAGTTATGGGCCAACATATATGCAAATAAGAATGTAAGATTTATACCTTATTCCCACCACTTCTGTGAAGTCGTCTTCCAAAGATCTTTTGATGTATTTTTGAAAATCAAACTGGCTGCCTGGAGCCAGATGTACCTAGAGGACAAAGGTAATGAGTAGTGGAATGTATCACTACATATAACTTATGGAAAGATTGCATTAGTGTCAATAAAGCCTACAGAGATGAAGCCATGACGCAGTGTCAAGTAATCAGCCTTCTCGACTGACCGAAAGAATTGACGAAAGAAGCACGCCTGCAAATAATATACAGAAATATGTAAAAGTGGCACATAAAAGGGAAAATGTGGCTGTTGTTGCTTTTTAAAATCTCAGTAAGCTTCTACCATTTCGGCTAACTAGGGTTAACTATCAATGTCACATAGCAGGTCACTTGAAGGATCAACTAAAATAGAAGAAACTTCACTACATTTGAAATAATGGCAGTGTCCCAATTACTGAATTCTGTAATGGAAAACGGCAAACATTCTTTCAGAAAAGGCATCAGATATTTGAAAATGAATGTTTACAATGTTCTTCAACAAGAGCACAATACTTTTTTTGGGCTACAAAAAAACAAAGGTGGGCAGTTTGGAACTTTAATGTCCAAACCACCCAAATTACCAAAATAGTATATTCGGAAACTTCAAGTTCCGAACCGATCTCTTAAAAAAGGAGAGACCCTACTTCATAAAAGGGATTATTTTGGGAAAACCAAAGAAAGAAAAAAAAAAAAAACAGGCATATGAGTGTAAAGTATTAAAAATTGGGGACGTTTTTTAAATACCACAAATTATAAGATATTTACAAAAAATTCCCAAAAAAGTAAACAAATGAGAACGAAGCAATGAGACATACAATGTAGAAAACTAGAGGTCTCCTATTCCAGATACTTGCATGATCTCTCACAAAAGTGACATCATTAGCAAATCTGAATCTTGTTGGATCTGTTTAACAAGTATGACAACAAAATTAGCAAGGGATACAATACAAAGGCAGGCCATCCAACACCTGTTCTCAAGATGGCAGTGGAGATGACCTGTATTTCAGATATGACAGATGCATGCAGAACTATGGTTCATCTCGGACTTCCTTAACATTGAATGGTGGATGGCCCAACAGTGTATTGCTTAGCAGTCTCATGGCACATATAGTATACTTTCCATAATATGACAAAGTAAAAATGCAACGAGATGACGGAGGTGATAAGAACAAAGCATGCCCCTTTTAATGAAGAGAAATAAGTTTGAAATATTTCGTAGATATCCTCTTTTGCAAGCGTTGGAGTAGTGAAAATAGAGAAATTTTGCAAGCGTTGGAGTAGTGAAAATAGAGAAATTTTGCAAGCGTTGGAGTAGTGAAAATAGAGAAA